AACCACCATTGCTTAACTCAGAGTAACTTTCACAGGTGTCTGTTTCCCTGGTATATGGCAGTTGGTATTGGTTCTTGCCTGGGTTTTGGTGTTTTATAGAGTGTGATTGTAGCTTGGCTATATGGCAGCAGTTGCTGGCTCTTCTTGTGTAATATAGGGAGAGAAAGAGTTCCCCAAAGGTAGAAGGGGGAACATAAAACAGCAAAACAGCACCAGCAAACAAAAAACAAAAAACCCCCACAAAACAACAACAAAAACTAGACTGAATACTGCAGTCTATAATCATAGAAAAGGGAGAGGAGGGAGAGAAGAAGAAGAAAAAATCTATAGCCTAATATGAGTGTGACTTTAATGTTCTCTCTTTAGCTTCTTGCTTTCAACGCTGCCTGAGAGATTTCAAGATGCCAGTGTTGGTTGTTATGCTATACCTCAGGCTTTAATTTAATTTTCAGCTTGTTTTGTTTTTAAACTCTCTTTCCCTCTCTACAGCCCTGTCCTGCCCTTTCCTGTATTAAAACAACAACAACAACAACAAAACGTTTAGGGCCTGCTCTTGGGCTGAGTATCTGTGCTCATGTGTGACAGAAGGACCTACCAGTGGTGAGGGTGGTCACCAGAATGGAGATGGGCAAACAGTGGGGGCACCAATGATCAGATACCAAAAAAAAAAGAAAATCAGACCAAAGCAAAACCGACAAAGTGTATTGTCCACCTTTAGTTCCAAGGTTCCTGCTGCGTTTTTCCATGGTGTTTCTGTGATCTTGCTGTTTGGTCTCGCCCAAGATGTCGGCTCCGGGCCTCCGAGCCTGGCAGATTCAAAAGTACACGATTTTTTACTTCACCTTCAAGTTCCACTAGCTATAAGCCTTCAAACATTCAAAATATTCCTATCTCTGTGGTTCTGAGTTTTGGAGCTCTGCCCTGGATATGCTTTGCCTGGTATTCTGTGGTATGGCTGACGGTGAACTTCATTACACCTCCACCCTAACCGCCATCAAGCCCCACCTCCCCCAGTGGTATTTGAATCCCTTCCTACCTGATGAGCTTATCTTCAGGCACCATATCTGACAATGAATGTTCAGTTACTCTTCATAATATTTTCATCTTCTGCTACTATATCTGACAGTGTTTCACTGCTATTCTTAAAGTTTTCAGTGTTTTTGCTACATTCAGAAGTAGTTGGCCTTTTCTTCTTCCTTGTCTGTCTTAGTTTGGAAGCTCATCTGAAACCTATCCACCATGGGTGACCCTGCAGGTATTTAAAATACGGGGGGCATAGCCTGTATGCATGACAGCAACACACAAGCCAGCACAGTAAGACAAAGTGACAGGTGAGTAGTGGCAGCAACCAACTACTGTCCTTTAAACAACGATTCATTCCACACAAGGAATGCATGTGGGGACTTTATCATTCTTGCAAATATAGTCAGAAACAACTTTCAGGACTACAACTATGCAGCATATGTTTATGTAGGCATGGACCTTGTTCTATTTTGAAAGTCTACTGGCAAAGAGAAATCAAATTCTTTAAAAGTCCAGATTTACTAGGCCAGTTAGGAGTACAGGAACCATGCCTCCATCCCACAAATGATCATTCAGAGATATCTTTTAAACTTTGGACCAAAACGACTCCACAAGGTTACCCTGCAGCCAAATATCAGATTGAGCCTTAAATCAACAATAACACCCATCAGTCCTGTGCCTCTTTAAAAAAACTATGTTGTTGTTGTTGTTGTTAAGTGCCGTTGAGTCGATTCCAACCCATAGCGACCCTGTAGGAGCAACTGGTGAGCTTGAACCACCGACCTTGCAGTTCAAACGACTTTGCAGTATGATGCATTAGCCCACAGCGCCACACCAGGACTCCTTAAAAAACTATATATGAGATCAAATGGTCAACATTTACTCTAAGGCAGAGAAAGTAAGGGTGAAGCAGGGAACCTACATTATTGGAAATGGAACAACTAGAACCAAAATAATGAATCTATTAACACGCTGTGATAAATCTAACAATGTCACAGAGTTATGTAGAAATTGTTAAATGGAAACCTAATTTGCTGAGTAAAATTTCACCAAAATCTCAATGAAATAATACTAACAACAACAACAAAAATGTACCGGCAAGACTTGTCATTTTGTTGTACTGAGGTTCATTGCGTGTTGCTGTGATGCTAAAAGCTAGGCTACTGTTATTTTAAATACCAGCAGGCTCACTCATGGTGGACCAGCTTCAGCTGAGCTTCCAGGCTAAGGCTAGGAAGAAGGAAAGGCGAACTACTTCTGAATGTTTGGCTACTGAAAACCTTACGAATAGCAGTGGAACATGGTCAGATATAGTGCTGCCCTTCAGTATGGAAGGCACTCAAAATGCAACTGGGGAAGAGCTACTTCCTCAAGGTAGACTTGATGGTGATGACAATAACGGAGTAACGCTTTCAGGACCTTCATTTGCTGATTGGGCACAACTCAAAATCAGGAGAAACAGCTGTAAATATCCATTAGTAATCAGAGCATGGACTGTATGAAACATGAATCTAGGGAAATTGGAAGTGGTCAAAATGAAATGGAACACATAAACATTGATATCCTAGAGGTATTGGTGAGCTGAAATGGACTGGTATTGGTCATTTTGAATCAGACAATCATATGGTTTACTATGCCGGGAATGACAAATTGAATAGGAATGGCATTGTATTTCTTGTCAAAAGAACATATCAAAATCTATCTTGAAATACAATGGTGTTTATGAGAGGATAGTATTCATATGCTTACAGGAAGACAAGTTAATACCACTATTATTCAAATTTACGTACCAACCACTAATGCCAGTGATGATGAAATTGAAGAATTCTGCCAACTTCTTCAGCCTGAAATTGATCAAACATGTAATCAAGAGGTATTGATAATTACTGGTGATTGGAATGTGAAGATTGGAAACAAAGAGGATGGATCAGTAGTTGGAAAATATGGTTTTCATGATAAAAATGATGTGAGAGATCAAATGTTAGAATTTTCCAAGAACAATGACTTATTCATTGAAAATACCTTATTTAAACAACATGAAAGATGACAATACAAATGGACCTCACTGGATGAAATACAAGAATCAAAATGATTACATATTATTAGCCAAAACAAGGTCAGGGGCCAACTGTGGGACAGAACATCACTTGCTCATATGCAAATTCAGGCTGAGGCTGAAGAAAATTAAAACAAGTCCACGAAAGTCAAAATATGACCTTGAATATATCCCACCTGAATTAAGGCCCATCTCAAGAACAGATTTGATAGACTAGATGCTAATGACCCAAGACCAGAAGAGCTGTGGCATGACATTAAGAATATCATACAGGAAGAAAGCAAAAGGCCGTTAAAAAAAGACAGTAAAGAAAGATAAGGCCAAAATGGATGTCAAAAGAAGAGACTCTGGAATTTGCTCTCCGGCATAGAAATGCTAAGGTGTCTTGGAATCTACTTTACTTCCTCACCATTTGGAAGTTCTGTATCTATACTATACCTTCTTATGACTTTGTGATTGATTTCATTATAAATTGATGTCTTAAATAAATATAAATTGATGTCTTAAAATGTAGGTTTGTTTTAAATACTTCTATATCTGTATTAGTTCTGGGAGGTGTTGTCATGTATGTTAATTTCTGGTTGTTTTCTGCTATTGAAGACGTACAGCCAGAATGTTTCTTAGAAGTGAGAATGTTGAACGCTTATCTCTCATTCTTTAGATATGTTGTTAGGAGGGATCCGTAATTGGAGAAAGACATCATTCCTGGAGATGTGGAGGTTCAGTGCAAAAGAGGAAGACCTCAAAAAAGATGGATCGACACAATGGCAACAACAATGTGCTTACACATGACAGTTGTAAGGATGGCACAGGACCAGGCAGTGTTTTGTTCTGCTATTCACTATGAGTCAGAACCAACTTAATGGCATCTAACAACAACAACAATAATTGAAATGTTTCAATACACCGATGCAGTGCTGGAGGTGATCACTGGTCTTCACCCATTCCAGAGTTCACCCAACAGAATGTGGATCATCAAGCAATACTATTACAATCACATGCAAGTAAAATCTTGCTGAAGATAATTTCAAAAAGATTACAGCAACACATTGATTGGAAACTTCCAGAAATGCAAGTTGTATCTTGGTTGAAAGCAGAGACCATCAGAAATATGTTTACTTGTGTTGCATTGATCATGTAAAGAATTCAACTGGTGAATCAACACATTATGGATAACGTTGTGAAGAATGTGAATTACAGAACCTTTCATTGTTCTGTGTAGACCAGACCAGAACAGTACAAGAGGATACTGTGTGGTTTAAAAACATGGAAGGGATATTTTTAAATCATACAGTCAGGGTTGTATCCATTCACCATATTTATTCAAACTGTATGCCGAATAAATAATCCGAGAAATGAGATTATATGAAGAAGGCAGCATCTAGAATGAAGGAAGACTCATTAACAGCCTGTGATATGCAGATTACACAATCTTGCTAACTGAAAGCAAAAAGGACTTCACGTACTTACTGATGACGATCAAAGTCTCCACCTAAACATGGCTGTTGTTATGTGCTGTGAAGTCGGTTCCGACTCATAGCGACCCTGTACAGGTTTTCCGAGGCTGTAAATCTTGACGGGAGTAGAAAGCCTCATCTTTCTCCTGCAGAGCAGCTGGTAGTCTTTCGAATAGCTGACCTTGAGGTTAGCAGCCTGACTCATAACCACTATGCTAGAAAAGAAAAACCCTCACAACTTTACCAAGCAAATCATGATCAATAAGGAGCTCTGGTAGCTACTCTGGTAGTGGCTGTGAGTTTTTGCCCTGATGGACTGGGTAAGAAAAAAGGGGAGAAGTTGCAGGTAGGAGTATATGATTCAGTTGTGAGTGGTTGTTAACAGGGATGATTGAGATTGTGAAAATTTGGATTTACAATGCCTATAAAATTAGTCATTTTAGAAGCAGGGTTGGGGGATTCATTACCATCAAAGAAGAGTCAGAAATGGATCATGTCCTTTGGAACCTGCGATTCCCATGCGTTGAAATTCCTAGACCCAGGGACAGAAATCTGTGGTAATAGAGGAGGGGCAGAAGAGCATGTTACGGAGTGGTGGGCTTCACAGCCCACAGAGGAAGTAAAGCTGAGTGACTTTGGGCAGGAGACTTCCTTGCAGAGTGGGGTGCCTCCAGGTACTTAATTGGGGAAGCTAGGTTTGCTGATACATGGAGGTAGAGCTGAGTACCTTCAGGCTGAGGCCTACGATGGAGTAGTGTGTTCTGTGTGCATTTCTCAGCAGCCCTAAATGAACTTTGTAGCACTGCTGAACAGTACAGAGGCCAGGCCAACGGGTCAAGGGTCAGAGAGGTCTGGCTGTGAGCACAGAAAAAGAGACAGGCTGTCCTGTCTAAAGAACTGTGCCCTGAATATTTGGGGCCTCGAATTTAATCTGTTAACTCTCCTGATAGGCCCCCTAAGTATGAGTATATTGTCTGAGTTCTGGATAATCCCTGAAATGAATTCTTGAACCCAGCTGAGTAAAGAATACTGTGTTGGGGGTGTGATGATTTGGTGCTCATTTCTTACAGCCCACAGACCTCACAGACAATGTGCACACATATGGGATTGTCAGGGGAGTTAACAGGTTACATTTAAGGATCGGAAACCCTTGGAATACGGTTCTGTGGTCAGGGCAACCCCTTGTCAGCTATGCCCACACGAATACCTCTGTCTGCTTCTCAGCCTCTCAGTCATGTGGCTCATTGGTGTCTGCCTTGCTAGGGCAGGAGTTAAAAAGCTCAATGGCGCTTAACAACAACACATTAATGACCACCCTGCTAGTAAACCTTAGCCCAAAAGCTCTAGCTCTGTGAGTTAGCGAACCTATCCTAGCCCTCAATTAAGTGCCTAGGAGGCACCCTAGTCCTTCAGCAAGGCTCTTGCTTTCTTGTTCCATGGACCAGGAAGCTCACAACACCTGGTCTATCCTGGTCTCCTGGTCTATCCTGGTCTATCCTGGTCT